GGACAAACCCTCCAGTAAAATGTTCAATAAAAGTAATGGGAGCAGATATCTTTGCCTCATTCCCGAACTTAGCAGTAAGGCATTCATTCCTTCTTTCACTATTAAGTATGATGTTAATTGCAGTTTTTTTCTGTAGATGTCTTTTATAACCTTTTATTCCTAGTTTGCTAAAAGTTTTAATCATGAAAAAATATAGGAATTTTTTCAAATGCTGTATCTGTGTCCATTGACACACACACACACGCACACACATACATATGTATATATAAAAATGTATGTTGTTGTGTGCCGTCGAGTTGATTCTAACTCATGGTGACTTTATAGTGCAGAATCAAAGTGCCCATAGCATTTCCTAAGCTGTAATCTTTGTGGGAAGAGATCACCAGATCTTTTTTCCCACAGAGTTGCTGGGTGGGTTTGAACTAGCAACTTTCAGTTAGCAGTCAAGTGTTTAAACATTGTGCTATTAGGGTTCCACATATATTCATACATTTACATCCACAGACATACATATTGATTTTGGTTTGCTGTTGTTAGGTGCCATTGTTGTTATTGAGTCAATTTTGACTCATAGCCATCCCATGTGACAGAATAGAACTGCCTCAAAGAGTTTTTTTGTAATCTTTACAGAAGTAGATCATGAGGTCTTTCTCCCATGGAGTTGCTGGGTGGGTTGGAACCACCAACCTTTCAGTTAGCACTTGACCACTTAATTGTTTCTTCCACCAAGTGTTGTTATTATAGTGATTTATATTGATTTTGATGGAGCTCTGGTAGTGTAGTGCCTAAGGCACTTCACTGCTAACCAGAAGGCTGCAGTTCAAACCCACCAGCCACTCCTTGAAAGGAAGGTTGGGCAATCTACTTCAGTAGTGATACTGCTTCAGAAACCCAAGGAGGGGTCGCTATGAGTCGGGTCCAACTTGACAGCACATAACAACAACAACAACATTGATTTTGAATATTGACCCAACCTTGCATTCCTGGGATAAATTCCACTTGGTCATGATACAATATCCTTTCTCTACATTGTTGGATTTGATTCATTAATATTTTGTTAAGGATTTTCCCATCACATTCATGAGAGATTTGGTTTGTAGCTTTATTTTTTTTGAAATGGCTTTATTTCTGCATGAAGCTGGCCTGATAAGTTGGTAAGTATTCTTTCTTCTATTTTTTTGTAAGAGTTTGTGTAGAATTGGTATTATTTCTTCCTTAAATGCTTGGTAGAATTCACCATTGAAGCAATATTTGTATGGAGTTTTCTTGGTGGGAAGATTTTTTTTGTGAAGAATTCTTTAAAAGATATAAGGCTATTCAAGTTACCTCTTTCTTCCAGGGAGCCTTGGTAGTAGTTTGTATCTTTCAAAAAAATTTATCTATTTCATCTAAGTTGTCAAATTTATTAGCATAAAGTTAATCACAAAATTCCCTATTTTCTTTTCAATAAGCACAGGATATGTAGTGACATACTCTCATTCATCCTTGATATCAACAATTTGTATTTTCTTTTTTTGGTGTGTAGTTTGCCTAGCAATTTGTAAATTTTCTAAATTTGTTTTCCACACACAAAAAAATGTTTTTGGCTTTTTTTTTCCCCCTATTCCATTGATTTTTTTTTTCCTTATTCCATTGATTTTTTTTTTTCCCCACTTCTTCTTTTTCCATTTGCTTGCTTTTGGTTTCAATTTTGTCTTGTACTAAATTACTTGGTATGGCTTTTCTAGCCATAGTCTTTGTAAATCCCACCAGATTACTGGGTGGGTCCATGCAAATAAGGTTTGTTGAACTCTGATGTTGGAATTGGTTAGTTTTGTCACTCTGCCAGGCTTAAAATGAGCTCTCCTAGAGGCAGAGGTAGGATCTCACTGCCATCAAGAGAGAAGAGCTGGAGGTGAAGTACAGTGCATTTGTGGACCCGAGATCCCTGCACTGGACCTCCTTGGCAGAGACAGATGCCCCAGCAGAGAGAGACACCCTGGCAGAGAGAGACGGTTGCAGTGGAACCAAGAGGCATGATAAAGAGTGGTGGGTTTACCTGGTCCACAGAGTGAGAAAACTAAGTGCCCTTTGGGCAAGAGGCTTGCTGATGGAGTGGGGTGCACCTAGGTGTACCTATGGGCAGAGTTAAAAGAGCTTTGTAACACTTGCCTAAGAAAGGCAGAGGCCAAGTTGAGAGGCCAAGGGCCAGAGAGGCACATCTGAGGGCATAGCAGAGGAGACACTGTCCTGATTGAAGAACTGTATCCTAAGTGTGTTTCTGAACCTGAATTGTAGTTTGCTACTTCCCTAATAAACCCCATAATCATGAGTATTGTCTGTGAGCTCTGTGTGGCCATTGCAATGAATTATTGAACTCAGCAGAATAGTGAATGCCCTGGGAGGGACAGTTGGTGTCAGAATTGGTAAAAGGCTGGAGGGTGGTGGCATGTCTGGCCTCATAGGAATAAGCTTTGGGCTGCTGATGGAGATTCTGTCTTCCTCTTGTGAAGTTAGAGGCAGTCAGAAGATGTCACCTCCATGTCCTTTTTGCATATCTTCTTTTTCTAGTTTCTTAAAGTGGAAGCTTAGATTACTGACTTGTGACTTTTCTTTTTTCTTATGTCTTTAAGCTATAAATTTTCCTCTAAGCACTGTTTTATCTATATCTCATAAATTTTGATTCCCAATATTTTTAAAGACCCTTTCCTATTTATTCTTTAACCCTTTATTTGGAAGTTTATTATTTAATTTCAGTATTTAATACCTGTTAATTGTATAGATGTATTTCTGTTATTAACTTCTAATCTAATTCTCTTGAAGTCACAAGGAACATAGTATTACCAAAAAAACCAAACCCACTGCCGTCAAATTGATTCTGACTCATAACAACCCTGTAGGACAGAGTAGAACTGTCCCATAAGGTTTTTAAGGCTGTAAATCTTTACAGAAGCAAACCGCATCATCCTTTTCCCTTAAAGTGAGTGATGGGTTCTAACCGATGACCTTTTGGTTAATAGCTGAATACTTTAATCACTGTACCTCCAGAGGTCCTTGTAGTATTAATCAGTTGTTTTACATTTGTTGAGGTTTGTTTTATGGTCCAGGATATGCCTATCTTTGTGAATATTTCCTGTGCAATTGAAACAAACATGTTCAGCTGCTGTTGGAGTATTCTATAAATGTTAATTAGGTAGAGTTGGTTGATAGAACTTTTCAGGTCTTCTGTGCCCTTACTAAGGATCTCTGGTGACAGAAGGATTGAGTATTCAATTGCTAACAAAAAAGGTCAGTGGTTCCTCAGCTGTTCACTTAGAGAATAGTGGTTTAAATCTACCTAGCGATACTGCAGGAGAAAGACCAGGCAATCTACTCCTATCAAAATAAAAGCCTAGAAAGCCCTAGAAGGCAGTTCTACTCTGTCACAAAGGTAGGGCTTCAAACTGGCTCTTTCTGGTTCAGTCATTACTGAGGAAGTTACATCAGAACAGGCCCGAATGTTTTAAAATTTGAGTGAACCAGAAAAATAACCAGAATAGGAAAAAGTACAGGTTGCAGCCCTACTAGAAACTTAATATCTCTCTTAGAAAATAAGGGCAGCATACACATTGTATAACAATCAAATCTCTTGTCCACTGGATTTTTAGCAGAATTGGAAACAGTGGTGCCCTGCTCAAAGATTGCAGCCGACTGTGCCTCCTTAAATATGTGTCACTCTCGACAGTTCTGTCGGTCATCCAAGCTCATGCATCAGGCTCCTGAAAGGGCTCACTTATACCTCTCCTGAGTTTCCCATTTCAGGCCTTAGACCTGTAATTCTTCCTATTCTGGTTATTGTTCCAGATAACCCAAATTTTAAAAAATTCAGATCTGTTTCATTTTCACTTTGTTGGCCATGACAGAACCAGTTTGAACCAGTGGAAGCCCTACACATGGGGTCACTATGCATAAATAATTAACTTAACAGCAGACACCTAACAATAACAATGTAACTTTTTGATTTCTTTGTATACTTGTTTTACTGATTACTGGAGGAGAAGTAAAGAACACTGGTGGTGCAGTGCCTAAGGCATTTGACTGCTAACCAGAAGGTTGGTGGTTCAAAGTCACCAACTGCCACATGGAAGGAAGATGGGGCAATCTACTTCTGTAAAGATTTATCACCGTGGAAACCCTATGGGGATCACTATGAGTCAGAATCAACTAAATGGCAATGAGTTTGTTTGTATGTTTTTTTCCTGAGGGAGGAGTAGTGAAGTCCTAACTATAATTGTGGGATTTGTCTATTTTAGTTAGTATAATTTTTGCTTCATGCATTTGAAGTTCTAAGTAGTGAACAGTGATCAAACAAGAAACTCTGTCTGTGTAGTGGTTTGAAAAGTCGTGTAATATTTTTGACTACTAACCAGAAAGCTGGCGGTTCAAACCCACCAGCTACTCCTCGGAAAGAAGGTTGGGCAATCTACTTCCATAGTGGTATCACCTCGGAAACCTAAGGAGGGGTCGTTGTGAGTCCTGCCAGACTCCACGGCAGGGTGTTTTTTTTTTTTTCCGGCCAGACTTAGTCTCTAGATTTTAGCATCTGAGCGGATGAATTTTAAGATTGATTTAGGAATAAGAGTTTGTCTTGCAGGTGTGGTATAAGGAAAGGTGCACAGGGGCTGGGGATTATTCTTAGAAATAAAGGATATATCTGTGAGAGAGCTGAGATGTTGCTGCGGGTATTAAAAATGTTAGATCTTGAATATGGAAGGAAAAGAACAGGCAAGGCTGAGGTATTCTTCTATTCCTACGATCCCACAGAAATTTACCCAGGTGGGCTTGGGGAGGGATCTCACAAAATCTATAAGGTGTCTTGAGTTAGCCCACAATCAGACTTAGTGGAGAGCGCCTAAGCCCTCTGCAGTGACAGAAGTGGTTGTGCGACCATGTCACATATCAAGCCCAGACCGAGATGAGGGTCAGACTCTTAAGTGGATCTCTCTTCTTCCAGGATTCTGGATGGGCCTGACCCGGAAGCTTCCCTGCCTACCCGGAAGCAGAGTTGCGCGGCAGAAGCGCCGCTGTGGAGCCACCGCCTCCTCGCGGCTTTGCGGCTGCTTGGGGAGCCGGGACCGCGGTGGCTCCGAACTGCCCTGATGGTCCCCAGCGGGCTGTGGAGGCAGAGGCGGCGGGAGGATGAGCTCTTCCCGGGAGTGGGGTGCGGACCTGGCCCGTTTCTACACTGTCACCGAGCCCCAGCGACACCCGAAGGGCTACACTGTGTATAAGGTCACTGCCCGGGTGAGTGCCGGCGTCAGGCGTGGTAGGAGCCTGATTAGAGAGGCTGGTGTGGGGACCACAGTTTAAAGGATACTTGCCTTCGAGTCAGAGCCGAGGGTGCAACTGGGAACCCTGAGTGGCGGACATGCATCGGAGGGTACCCGTTGGAGGTGGGGACTTCAGGAAAGCTGGGGTAGGGGTTGAGTATGGGTTGCTCGGGACTCACTGGAGAAGATCGCGGTAGTGTCAGTATTCCAGGGGTTGGGGTGTGGCAGTGGTTGATTGTTTTAAATTGATGATTCAGCTCCTATCCCATTTAGACTTTCTCTTCTGAATCTGACATTTGCAGAAGTGGTTGCGGTTGCTCCAGAAAGATGATGCACATTCATTCATATGTGTGTGTGTGTGTGTGTATATATGTGTGTGTGTATATATGTATATATATCTATATCTATATGTGCATGTGTGTGTGTATATATATATATATATATATATATATATATATATGTAACTTGCTTTATGTATAGAAGACATTTCCTCTCATGACCTTTATACAGCGTCAGGTTTGCTCTGAGACAATTAGACTTGGGAAAGATGACAGTGTTAGGGCCATCAGCTTAGGACCACCGTACCTAGGTTGTATCTTTGCCTCAGTTTTTCATGTATTTCAATAGGAGACATATTATGTAACAGAAATTCTAGTGAGACTGTTTTGGGTGAGTTGCCTTGAGGACACAATCAAAAGTTGTGAGGCCTCTTTTCATTAGCTAACTCATTCCATTTTTAGTACCCATTTTGCTTTTGTTTTATTGTTCTTGCTTCGGTAAAACCAAGAGCGCCTGCATCTCGCTTCTAGGAGATGTATTAGGAAAATGAGAGTAATGAAATTAAATTCATAGGTATGCTTGTACATATATGTATGTGTACTAGGTGTTTTGTACACGTCATTAAATCTTTATTTTAAAGATGAGGAAACTAAGGTTCAGGAAGTTTAGTAACTTGCCCAGCTTTACATTAGAAGGTAGTAGCAGAACTGGAATTTGAAACCAGTTCTGCTTAACTCCAAGTTTTATAAAAAGTCAAGAATTAATAGGGAAAGGTAATGTAATGTATCAGTCAATGTTAAAATTTAAAAAGAAGGGTACAGATAGTAGTACAGTACAGTTGAAGGATGTAGTAATCATGTGATGGGGAGAGTTCAGATAGGAAGTAGGCCTTGAGAAGAACCTTTTAAAGTTAAGTAGATTTGATGGGCAGAGTGTGGATATGGAGGTGGCACATGCCATATGGAAATTGTGTACAATTCAGAAAATGTGAGAAGGTGAGGTGAGCCAATTGGTTAAAAGATAATGAGACCTGCTTATTTCAGAGGGCTGTACTGGCAATAACTAAAACTAAACTCACTGCCATCGAGTTGGGTCCGACTCAGTGACCCCTCCTTGGGTTTCTGAGGCAGTATCACTGTGGAAGTAGATTGCCCAACCTTCCTTGCAAGAAGCCTGCAGTGGTTAAGTGTTCAGCTGCTAACCAAAAGGCAGGTTGAACCCACCAACTGCTCCACTGGAGAAAGATGAGGTAGTCTTTTCTGTAAAGATTACAGCCTTGGAAACCATATGGGGCTCTACCCTTTGGGTCACTATGAGTTGGAATTGACTTGATGGCATTGAGTTTGGTTTTTGGCTTGGCATATTGACAATAGGGGAAAATTTGCTCTTCTTGTATCTAAGTAGGGGTACATACAGGAAATGTTAGTTTTGGATCATGTAAGATATTTTGCGTAAGGTTAAGATGCCCCTATCACTGATGGATTCCCTGGTGATGCAGTGGTTAAGTGCTAGGCTGCTAACTGAAAAGTCACTTCTTAGAGCCCCTAGCTGCTCTGTAGGAGAGGGATGGGATGTGGCATTCTGCTTCTGTAAAGATTTACAGCTTTCGAAACCCTATGGGGCAGTTCTACTCTGTCCTGTAGGGTGGCTCTGAGTCAGAATTGACTTACTGGTAACAGATTTATTATACTACCTTTGAAAATCTTGAAAGTCAAGACTTGATTTTCTAACCTGTATTTTGTGGGATCACCATGAGTTGGAATCGACTCAATGGCAACTAGTATGGAATCAGCAATTTCCAGCATGCATAGTCATCCTCTCACAGCACACTGTTCATCCCTTGTTACAATATCACAGTTACATTTTACTTATCTGTTTACATGTCTGTTAGATTTAGAACAGGCCTCTACTATTGCTGTTTTTTTTCCCCCTAATATAACATAAGGTAGTATGTGACACATAGTGCCTAAAAAAAGTTGAATGCTTCCCTCTAAATTCATGGCAACGCACTAAATGTTCTGTGGGTTACAAGACTGAATTAAACATGTACCTTCCTTTCAAGGATACTCATAGTAGAAGAGAATTTACCATACCTAAAGAATATAGTACAAAGCAGAAAGTGTTTATTGGCACAAAAGACTGCAGAGAAAAGCTGTGGGAGTTCAGAAGAGATGGCTTTTGGTTCAAGGGATCAGGAAACATGACAATTAAGAGAGGTGTTGAAAAATTGGGAGAATCCAGGCAGATGGAATAAAAAGAGAAAGTATCTTGGGTAGAAGGGATACAGCCAACCTAGAATAAATACCAAGAAGCAAAAACAAAACCTACTGCCATCGAGTTGATTTCGACTCATAGCAACTCTTTAGGGAAGACTAGAACTGTAAGGTTTCCAGGTTTCTTTACAGAAAGCACATCTTTCAACCATGGAGTGCCTGCTGACCCTTTGGTTAACAGCTGAATGCTTTAACCACTATGCCACCAGGGCTCCCTTTGATAAAACTTGGAGGTATGAATATGTATGGACCTCGACTAGGAAGCACTGAGTATGATAGTTAACTCGCATTCTTAGTTTTCAAAGGGAAGACCCAATTCAGATCTTAGATATCTTCATAAGATATCAACTACTACTAAACTGACATTTATGGCAGTACAAATTGGGAGCTCTGGTGGTGTAGTGCCCAAGGCATTTGACTGCTAACCAGAAGGCTGGCGGTTCAAACCCACCAGCCACTCCTTGGAAGGAAGGTTGGGCAATCTGGTAGCATAGTGCCTAAGGCATTTGACTGCTAACCCAAAGGCTGGTGGTTCAAACCCACCAGCCACTCCTTGGACAGAAGACTGGACAATCTACTTCTGTAGAGATACTGCCTTGGAAA